ATCAGTTCATAAGATCTTTAAAAAATTTTCACATCTTATTACGGATGGCATAGGTAAATAAGTCCTCATAGTGTAGTTTGAATATAATAGTTTTTTCTCACATTTCCACGCGACCAGTCTTCGCATCTGTTAGGTGGATCCCAGAGCCTCTTGAACTCGATTCGTTTCTTCGCATCTAGCATTAATGGAGCTTCTCAAAAATTTATGTTTGGGCTGGGCTGCGGCCTGCTTGAGGATTTTTCGCCCTCATGATTACAGCTGAATGCCGGTGGAGTCGTTTGTCACTGGAATCCTTGGATAACCGTTACAATTCGAAACCACGTGGATTGGAAGGAGTGAGTGGATACGTAGAACGTTTGGAACCAATCCGCAAACATCAGTGGTGTGAGTTGGTGGCAGACAGCAGGAAGTATAGCGAGGACAAACCAACACCGTGAGCTTTATGAAAAGCACCATTGTCACTGCACTACTTGCCCATGAATAAGAGGTGATACCAATAAAGGGTGCTATTCTGCGCCCAAACTCTTCACAAAGCTTATAATTTACCAGATTACTAGGCTAACACAAGGTCGTTGCGTCTTCTTTAGAGCCGAATTGATTCGGAACCCCATAGCCGTCCTCGCGGTATGGTTCCTCATTGGCTCACCGATTGGAATCTGATGAGTCAATTACCACACGATTAAAGAAACCGTCCTAGGCGGTGACCTTTTTGCAGGACGGTTGTGTATCTACTACCATCTAATACGATATCCTGTTTTGCCTTCATGGTAGCAATGCATCCTGAACAAGTTGGGTGCTACATTAGCTAGCGTATGACAGAAATATTTTTAAAAACCGATTTTCATTAAATATCGACGTGAATAATCAGTAATTCCTGGGATTATTAAGCTGAAATGAGGTTGGAAAAAAATCACCCGGATCAACACTAACTAGACCAAATTTGTGGAAGACCTTGCTGCACCAAAGGATTCCTTTTAAAAAAAACTTCCTTGTAAATAATTTTAATGATGCTGAGATATTTGCAAAACTCCGAACCGCAGGTGTCTGCGGTAGAGACGAACGCAATATTATCCTTTCCGGTGGCTAACGCGTTCACCAGCACACCATGCGGGTCCTTCGTTTCGCCTCTCTCTCAGCTAGTCAACGTCAACGTTGGCAAAAGATCCATAGAACTATTCCACAACGTTGCTGAAATATTTGCAAAACTCTGGACCGCATGTGTCTATGGTGGGGAACGAACGCGCAATTGTCCTTTCCGGGGAGTAACGCGTTCACCACCACACCATGCGGGTCCTTCGTTTCGCTTGTCTCTCAGCTATTTCTATCGATATTTCGATACGATCTATCGATATTTCGCTTAGTACCCTGCCGCGAAATTATAGTAGGCAGAAAATAAAAAAGGTATATCTCAGCATTATCAAAGTCACTGTTTTACATGGGATCAGACTACAGCGTTTTTTGTGCAAGACTTCATTTCCTGCAGAAAAGAGGACAAGCTTCAAATTCAAAAAACCAGATCCCACAACCGCAGTAAACTGGGTTTATTCAGTTTATCAGACGGCTGTTGAGAAGATGCCGTTTTTGAAACCGTCGACGAGAAATACGATCAGCTCACTCAGCATCTTCACCGCTATAAAAGCTGAGAGTTCGAAAGTCACCAAGAGACGTAATACATGTATTATTCTCTGCGGCTGCTATCCATAAACTGATTTAAACACTTAACGTTCCGAGTCAAACAACAGATGGGAATACGTGGCTCAATGCCAGCTATGATAATCTTCACCCCATCGTTAAACTGCGGTGAAGACAAGATCCACGCAATCTATATGGACTTGCAGAGTGCGGAAGTATTATATATCATGGGGCACTCATTTTTCCACTTTTCATTGTCCCTCTCAGCCGTTTTGACCGCATTGCAGAGTCCGAGGAGCACGTGGTTGGACGCTTTATTGAAGGTGACATCAAATATATTATTGATGCTCACGTAAGGATGTCGAAGATCATGGTGAACTTTAATACAACGTTATTATGAGGAACTTATTAGCTTTGCCAACTGAACGCCTGATCTTCTGATTATGACATTGCTATCATTAAAAGAAGTGAGACTCTTCCGACGCAATTCGCTGTTTTCTTAAGCATAAGCATGCATGAGGTTATTGCCACACTATTTAATTATAAAAGCTGAACTTCTCGTTGATTTCGCTCCCTTCAGAGCCGTGGAGGCTCAAGTCGGCTGCAATCTGCTTAGCCAAATACCATATCTTCAGCAGAAAAATCATGAGACCAAGATTTCAAATACATTGAAAAAGTGACATTACGCTTGGGTCTAACGACATTACGCTTCCATGTGAATTCTGTGCGGTTGGTCTTCACGCGACATACTCAATGGAAGACCCATAGAAAGCGGCTCTGAGGAAGGCGAAATCCGCCGAAACGTCAGCTTGTACGTAAATAAAGAAATAAAATAGCACCTCGTGTTTGCTGAACAGAAGTAGAAAGAATTGTTCAATCAATGCCGAGGTTAACAGAAAATCTGACGTGGGAGTTACTCGGAGTGTTCCAGGTGGAGACCAACTCTACAGGGCTCACATGGATGGCTTCTCCCATTGAAATATCAGTATATTTTTTAGGATCACTCTTGATAATAGGGCTTCTACGGTTCATTTCTGAAATTTGCAAAGGAATCTAATATACACCTCGTGCTTCCCGATCTGAAATTTCTAGATTCTCGTGCTGGAACGGTGACTTCCAACAACAATACTAGAGAAAGAGAGACGTCTTCCAGTAAATCCTCTCTATATGAAAATTATTTACTGCAGAAGACAATTGCAAGTTTTGTGCGAAGATTGTTGATGGTAATAAGGATTGAATGCTATAACAGATCACTTTAACTGTTTTCGGGTCACTGATGATGCATCTCTGAATGACCTCCGTCGGTTATTGCAGACAGTAATTAGCACTTGTCGTTGTTATTGGTTACCATTGCTGAATTATATCTTCGATATACAAATACACATATATATATATGTATGTAAACATACATTGTGTACTAATTATAGATTGTAGATGGCAAATTAAACGTAATACAACAACGCAGTAAGACTTGATTGCTGTCTCTAAAGACGGACTCCGCAGAAATCCAACGATGAGCGCATGCTCAGTGAACACCGAGACACTCTGAAGTCTTCTCGATGATCATATATTATCACAGTGAAAAGCTCTTGCCAAGTGTCGAATCCCAGTGTTCAAGCATAGGCAGTTCTGCGCCTATTCGCTGGTCATGCTCGCTATGCTGCATACTCTCAACAACAGAAAGAATTTCTTGCCCGCAAAATGAACTTGTCCAAAAGGAGCTTTTGCAGATTACTCAGCTTTAAGAATAACTTTTCACGAACTATGGCCAGCATTCGACGAGCTATTGACAGAATACAAAAGTTTCGGTAAAAAGACATATGCGACCCACTGAAGACGTGTGAACCAGAGCGTTCATGAGAGTAAAAAGAGCTGACTAAATTGCAGTCAACTTGACATTTCCAGGCTCTGAGGAAGGCGAAAACCAGCGAAATGTCAACTTTTTTGAATAAGGAATGCTGCGATAGCGAATTATTCACTAATGTCAAGGTTAATAGAAAATCGGCCTTAGGTATTACTTCCGACGTAAGTCAGAGAAAACAATGTAATTCAGGGAACTGAGTTGGTTGTAGTATTTCGTAAATTTGGCACTTTCTTCTGGTCCTTTATGATGTTGAGTACTAATGCGTTGAGCAAAGCCTTCATGATTGTCGAAACAAAGCTGATGTTTTTTCTACTACGGCATGGAATGATGATCGATTGCCAAAGTTCTGCAAAATCAGATAAGTAATTCTTAAGAAGGCCAGAAAAAAAGATACCAGTTTATAGTTAAGAAGTTAAAAAGATGATTTTCTGCCAAAAATAGGTGCTCATGCATGTTCGTCTGTGAAAGACCACACGAACATAATGCCAAATCTTGTGGAGTTATGATTTTCCTAGCCCATATCAGATTAACTTAGGTTTCTGCACTCTCTACGAAGTTGAGACAGTTCTACTTTTCCTTCGAAGTTTCAAAGCATCAATCGGAAAATTAGGCGCAACCACCCAAACTACTTGATTGTTCGACGACTACTGCTGGTTTCCGGATAAATGATGTATCTGCGGGCACGGCTATCTCTCCCTTTAGTGTCAACAACGATAGGAATTTTTGTAAAGGCACGCGTAAAAGTGAATTTTGCAAGCCACTATGAGATTGTCCACACCTTGACACAGTTTTTACTTGTTATAAAATTTTAGAGTGACATGTGAGACCCAACTTCAGTTACAACTCATTCCCTTCTTCCAGTTTCACAGGTCTTCGATAAGAACTTGAAGAAGGACTCCAATTCCCAGCTCAACAAAGCATCCAATCCATAAAAACCAGACACCTAAGCACGGTAAACGTAGATGATGGCTACTTCTACTCTATGGATAAGTAAGTTATATATTTAAACAACCAACATCATATATTTCGCGAAACTTAATCGCTTCTTAATCAATCGAAATACACCATCCGCATGGATTCAAAGTACGGTACTTTTCGGTAATGACAATCAGCCATTATTGCGAAAACTCTAGGACTAGTGACCATCGAAAACTTCAGCACAGTGTGCTTAATCCAATAAAACATTGGGCAAACTACACGATGTACAGGAACGTAACTTTGATCTCGCTGCGTTCATAACGTAATGGAGACTAAATTAAAGTCCATCTAATGCAAACTAGGACATGTGTGCCACGTGAAGCGGAATGATGAAGGAGCAATGGATGTGATAGCGGTTGACGAGAGACAGCTCATCTCCTCGGATCAAGTTAAACACGCGATTTCCATAAATATAAACAAGTAACATGAAGAAGATGGGATCGTACAAACAAATAGTGGACGATCTGTATGACTGGAAATCAGGTGCTAAATGTCAAACAAAAACGCCAACACATACAAACGATGTTTAACGATATCGACTGGATACATAGTGCTCTTCCGGTTTCCAGTCGCTTTTTTTCTGTCCTTGCTCAGCTTTTTCGCGTTCACGAATTTCCTTCCAAATTTCAATATCACGCCAATCAGCCTAAAAATACCATTGACAAGGCATTCTTTAAATATAGCAAATACCCCTAAAAATTTAAAACTCACCTTTTCAAAATCAGGTCGTACATTATGGGTGGGCTCCTCAAGTGCCTCGGTCTTCTTTCCAAAGTTGAAGTGCTTATTTGGACCATAGAAATTCTCCTCCTATATGAAAGACCAACTTTCCATATTTTCAACTTTTCCCTTTCTACGGCTCTCCACAACACGAAAGAATAATGTGAAATCCAAAAATTCCAGAATTAATAACCTTCACAGATTTATCCAGAAGCTTTGTTTGCCCTTTCCAATCCGTGTTGACATCATCCTTCGTGCTTTTCATAAGCTTTTTCAGTTTCTTTTTTTCTTTCTTCGCTTTCTTCTTTTCCTTCTTTTCTCGTTTCCGATCCGCTTTTATTTTCGCTCTCAACGCCCTAAGTTCTTCGTCCTCCTAAATATGATATCGATTTGGAAACTTGATTGCTTTTGAAAAACTATCAAAGCTACCTTTAAAGACACAATCGCATTTTCAGCGTCAATCTCGGTATCTTTCTTCCTTTCCGGTTGAGTCCCATCTAAAATCCTATGGCACATTATGACGTGGACATAAAAACATGCTTCGCAGTTTCGCACAGCCAAATTAGTTGCTCTTATACGTGGCGAACAAAAGTAAGTGTCACATCTAAGAATATGATTTACTTCTTTTGCCTGTCAAAGCTTAACAGATGCAAAGTACGTGGAATTTGCAGAATATTAGACATCTGACACATTAGTGACGTAATTCATTGACCTCAAGACACATGTTGGGAAAGCGAAGACTCCAACCTATGAAAAGATTTCATCTCATTTCATCTCGGCCATTTCTCTCTGCACACAAACTTTCCATGGGATACCATTTGCACTAAGTCGATAGGCTCTTTGCCTATTGTGCGGATTGGAATAACGCCGTCCGAGAAAGACTAGGCTACACACGCAAAACCAAAGAAACTGCCGATGAGAACGGTATCGGAAGTGTCATAAATATGCTAAACCTTTCGCGACCACATCTAATTTCTCGATGCAGATGTACTGGACCACTCTTGAATCGCTGTGGGTGTGAATGGTGCGCATCCTGCTACTTTTTGAATGTTACCATGGTCCGTCATATAAATACATTACTATTAGCATCTGGAAGTATTTTGCAACTTGGTCGATTGCCACCCAAATTCCTCGCGCGGACATCTCCGAAGTTCTTCCTTCTGCACATTTATTTGTAAGCGCATAACAGAGCGTTTCTCGCCCAGTGTCTAACGCGACTGTGCTAGCTATCGATTGACGACAAAAAATCGGAAGAAAGAAAACGTTTTGAAAAAGAAAAGCGAATCGAAATGACTATGTCTAGGCCGTACAGTCCGGTAGCGTACGCATTGAAATCAACGCGCACGGTTACGAAAAGATCGAACCATATAAAATAACCAGATACTACGCTATTATAAGAAATAAATCTGCATACACACAACAAGAGATTGGATATGCCAATCCCAGTTTTATTAATATTGAAATAACGAGATAGAAAATAGAATACTTGGAAAAGAACGTATCTTTGATGAAATAATGAAGTCCAAGGGCTCTAGTGAATTCGGTACGCACTATTATCCTATACTCTTCATAAGTACGGAACTGAAAGTCGTAACCAAGAAAATCTATTGCAGATTTAATTAGAAACGCGCAATGTGCTTGGTCTATAAACGGTTGATTACTACAGCAGCCCAGAACATATACACGTCGCAAACAAAAAGAAGAAAAAATGTCTTCGATTGCGTTTCACCGTTACATAAATCGCAATGCTGGTCGAAGAAAAGAATAAGGCAGCATGAAGTTCTACTAAACCTCTGGAACAACTTGGCAGAACCGTGTTGGAGTCTCCTATGTCAAGCCAGCACAATAAAAGGTAGTTATCACATAAAAAAGATAATGTGGGAAAAATTGTAATAAAGAAAACTAAAACAAAACAATAACAAGACAATACTAAATTACATACCTATTCCGGTCCTTCGGATAGGTTTTGGAGCACAACCCTCCTCCCACAATCGCTTCGTTTCCTCGTCTGCGTTCTCCTTGTACTTTGGAACTTTGTACTGTTCGACGTGATCCACTCTTATTACTCGCTTGAGCAGCTACAAAACGAACGACATTATTAAGTAGTTTGGAATCAAACAGAGTCCGTCCACTCACAGTTATACCATTGAAGTTGTCAACGGCCAGCACCGTACTCCTTTGGTCTTGATAGCACAAGAAACAAAATCCTCTGGATTTTCCAGTGTCAGCATGACGCAGTAGGTTGATATTGATCACTTCACCGAACCTATAGCGCAACGGTTAGTCGAACAATAAAAGCAGAAAAGTACAAAGACAATAAGCAAAGTCCCAACAATACGCAAATCCAGACAGAAAACTGAAAAACTGACTGCGAAAAGACGGTGATTATGTCACCTTCTGTGAGGTCATACGGCAATCCTCCGATGTAGATCCACGCAGAATCCCCATACCTCTGGTGCCAGGATTTTCTTAAGTCACCAGCAATGCCCAATTGGAGCTCTCTTTCATTCAACTTGTTTTGGTTCCTGATGTTTGTTAGTGGATTCATAACCTAAATCACTCGTTATAAGCCGTCCACTTGTGGAATGGTTAGGGAAATATTTCAATGATAACGAGCCATTTCGGGAAAAAGAGCAGAATATGTATTCAAAGAAAAAGATGACCAAACAAGAACCATTTAAGATCAATAAATATGACCGATATCCAGGAAAGCTTGCCAAGGAATAATCTGTTGATATGCGCCATTCTAGACAGGATAAGAAAGAACTAAAGTAGACAAAGTAAACGTTATTACCATTCGTCGAAAGTTAGTGCTCCAGAACTAGTACTAAGCAATTTTGTAACATCCTGAGGGAAAGGCTAACAAGTCTCAGTCGAAACTGCTGACATGAGAAGCCAAGCTCGGTCGACGATCACAGAACGGTGCGGAAGTCCTTCTCGTCCACTAACTCCCACAAAAACGCCATAAGAGCAAGATAAACATAGTTAATTAACCAGTAAGAGAGTAATTAAAAGTGCCACTACATCTAAGAAGTACCACGAGGCATTTCGAAAGACAATATTCCAAGAATACAGTAAGAAACATTGCCGTTGAACAACGTTTTTCATGTGTAATTGCACACAATGCAGTTCCCGCTAAACGTCGCCCTGACTTGCAAGTTCATGCTAGTTTTTCTACCTATGGCTATCGCTATAAAATCTTAGCAGGTCCGTATTAAGTGTTTGTGGATTTCGAAATAAAGCAAGCATCACGAATCAGAGGAGGTTTCGATGAGAAATGGAGCTTGTTTTCATCCCAGAAAACGTAATGTTCACTATTTTCCAAAATAAAATCACCTTTGTAACTTTTATTCCATTCCGCCATATTAAGTATTGTCCAAGAAATTCTCCAAAACTACGTACTCGGCTTATTAGTGGCGATTGTGGTTCTTTAAATGTTTTTTTTTCAGCACTGAGGTAAACATGAAGTGGGAAACATGTTACCCTCCTAAGTAGCTCGAAAGCTAATCGAACCATTGACAAGCATACAATGTATGCATTTTTAGTTGCTCTTCTAACTTTCCTCTCGTAGTTTTGAAGTGTTCTAGGTTTTCAAATGTGTTTACTATTCCTTCCTTCCAGTGTTTTACCGCCTCATCGTGGCTGAGAGGTGTTCCTGCGATGTACAGCGGGAGGATTCATCGCCCTTCTAGTGTCTTCCAAGTTAAGAAGGAGCCTGGCGTTTCCATCGGGAAGCCCAGCTGAGAGTAAACCAATACCAGGATCCACCACCATCCTGATATCAAAGTCGCATGGTGGCAAATTTCCCTCTGATCCACAACGGCGGCGGCAACCTGTGGTGGTGATGACCTGGCACCGACTTTGACCAGGCTGTCCTTGGGACTCCATCCAGTGAACCACAATGACTAAACCAACAGGTCTCCGAAGAATTGAAATTGTGCTGGGACCTGCACAACCAGTGAAGACCAACCATTCAAGTATCTAAGTATTTACTAGTCCTAAGTGATGGTACAGTGTGAGTAAATATATTGAAATCATCCCAACGACTTCATCTTACAGTAAACGAGACCAGAAGCCTGATATTAAACCTAGTTGTAGGAAAACGTGTTTGGGTTACTAGGGGACGGGCATTTGTCCTCGATAAGCTAATGATGAATGGTAGCGTTTTCTTTTTTCTTACTATGAACCACTAAACAACAAAGAGCTTCTCATCGTGTACTCTAGGTTATATTGTCACTTTTGTGAGAGATGCATAAAAGGAAAAGTGGAGAACTTTTGTGATTATTTGAAACCTTGTAACAGATGGACGAGCAAGCTGGAACTGGACTGAAACCAACGAACGACTTTAACAAATGGGCAAGTGGACAGAAGTCTTTTTCTTACAAAAAGATGAGAACATTTAGAGAAACTTTAGTCGTCAGTGGTCGTGGAGAAAGTGTGGGTTCAAATCCATGGAGAAAGTTCCGTGGATGCGTCACATCGGTAGGTCGTCCGTTAGGCTTAGTTTCCCTTAATGTCTCATTGCTCATCTAAGCATCGTAATTACCGCTGCCAGTTAGCAACTTTGCATAGGGGGATCTATCTACTTGCAATTATGATCAGCAATAGATTGAAATTCATTGGAATCCTAGGTGATTCCTCGCCTTCTTATCAAACATTTTAAAATGATTTTAAGCCGGTCTGACTACATATACAGCCCCAGGTACAATACTTCTGGAAGAGAATTCATAAACAATTATGTCCAGTATGGGATGGGACCCGTGTAGCGCACAAGTTAGAAGTGCCCGCGATTCACAAGTGGCTTATAGTTCAGTCTGGCGACCAGGACAAAGCAAGCCCTCCATGTGGAATCAGTGAATTTTTACCAAACCTGTCTCAGGTAATAAGAGTATAGACTTGACAAATCGTTAGGCAACCGCAGGTCGTTGTGAGAACCAGATATGCATCCTATCAACTTTGGGATGCTACGAATGGAGTCAAATGCAGAAAGCGTCCCTAAGAAACCAACGAAGCCGGAGAACTTCATACTTTTGAGGCTTTATTATTACTTTTTTCATTGCGTAGTTTTCTTGTTCAGCAATCGCGAGGTTGTTAAACAGCATGCATTTACTTCCATAGAGAAACAATACAATACAACACTAGCTGACGTTTCGGCAGTAACGCCTTCTTCAGAGTCTGGAAGAGTATACTGATATACAATCTACTAGGCCAAACGCTTCAGTAACACTTACAAAAAGACGAAAAACTCTATGGCAGTTACATGATCAACAGCTTCTCGAAAAACTCACTGCTTTTTTACGTGCCTTCCAATTAGGAAGCTTAGAACAGCTGATTATAGTCGCATATGGTTGTTGACTGCACCATCCCACATCAGAAATTGATGCGAACATACGGGGTCACGTTGCGTATGACCTCTGGGCATTCATCCGTGCTATTCATTATAGGGTTTTTGGCATTCGTGAATCGCGAAGGAGGAATCGCGCGACTTAATAGCCATCTCCAATGGCTACGAAATGGTAACACCACGAGATAAGTTTAGGAGCGGACCGACGCGCCCACACGAAACGCTTGGCCAAAAGAAAGTCCCGTTTATGTTGCCTTTTATAAGCGATTAAGTAAGCGTAGCTATAAAACGATGCTTAAGAAGGGCAAGTCTAGAGGAATCGGTAGCGATAGTTGAAATTCCAATTGACGACTCTACGTCGTCAATTAGTTCGTAACCGCCTGTATGACCGTCTATGTGAAACAATTGCGTAATTTGCCCTTACGGCAAGGACGGTGATTGCATGAGTTCAGGTACGATATACCTGATCTCTTGTAATAATTGCGGAGATGAATATATTGGCGAAACGAGCAAACCTTTGTGTATCCGTATAAAAGAACACCTAGATGGCAAACGAAAACTAAGACGAAGCACCCCACTAGGTACGCATAGGATACAAAAGCATAGCGGAGACGATTTTGAAGTAAAAGTCAATACTCTTGCACAGGAGTCCAAAACACCAGCGCGAAAAGTTCTTGAGGCTTTTCGGATAAATGCCAAAAACTTTACAATGAATAGAAGCGAGGAATGCCCAGAGGTCATACGCGACCTGACCCCGTATGTTCGCATCAATTTCTGATGTGGGATGGTGCAGTCATCAACCATATGCGACCATAATCAGTTGTTCTAAACCTCCTCATTTATTCACGATTAAGCTGACGTTTCGGCGGATTTCGCCTTCCTCAGTGCTGCTTTCTATGAGGTTTCCACTAAGTATGTCACGTGGAGACCAACCGCACAGAAATCACATGGAAGCATAATGCCATGTCTTTGTTGTCAGTCCTACAAGTAACGACTGGTGCTTTCCTTCATATACAAGTAGTTACACTGTCACTTATATTGTGAAATTTCTGTTGCATTCTAGTTCATCTAGTTGGCGTCCTACATTTATTCTTTATCGATTTACTTAATATACTGGTAGAGCTGTGTAAGAATTTTCCTGTGTCACCGTGTCTTTGCTGAATTACGAATTTGGATATGTTATATTTACAGATACTGAAAAGTCAATCGGTTTACTCTAACTCCGAAGTGAATATTTCACAAATCTGTAAATATATCCTTACGAACCACCCTTTTTAGAGCCGACGCGAGGTTGATATAGATGCTCTCATTGTCGTTGTTCTAACAATGGTTGACGTTTCGGCGACTTCGCCTTCCCCAGAGATTCGCGATTGGACCACCCGTTTACTGTTCACGAAGGATGATCATTGGGTTGGGTGGAGCGTGTAGCGCAGTGGTCGGAGGCGCCCTGCAATGCGAGTGGGATCGATCCCCGCGCGGGTAGCTCACTAAGCCTTCCATCCTTCCGGGGTCAGTAAGTTGGTAGAAGACTTGTCTGAGACAATAGCAGCACTGGCTCGATACGTCGTTAGACTACCGCGAGTTATTGTAAAGGCCAGATTCAGTCACCTCTAACGATACTTGGTGAAGTCCGATGCAAGACGCATCCTTCAGTGATTGATCAAAGCCGAGAGTTTTATCCTTTATCCTTTATGACTGTCCGTTGGTAATGGTTTGTCTTTAAAGGAAGGAATGAAGGCCGTGGACTTCTCAATGAACTTGACGACGACGAATTCAAGGCACTGGTGGAAGCAAACACGCGAGCAGCTTTTCGAGAGCTTGAAAAACGGCTTGGCGTAAGCACAGAAACAATTTCCACTCACTTTAATTGTATTGGAAAGACAAAGGAACTCGACAAGCTGCTGCCACAAGAATTAAACGATGGTCAAAAAATTAGCCGCTTTGAAGTGTTGTCTGCTCTTACTCTGCGCAACAAAACAACCATTTTCTTTATCGAATTGTGACGTGCGACAACAAGTGGGTCCTATACGACAACCGGCAGCTTCAAATTAATGGTTGGATTGCGATCAGGCTCCACAGCACTTCCCGAGGCCTAAATTGCACCTAAAAGGGTCATGGTGACTGTTTGGTGGTCTACAGCCAGGTTGATTCATCACGGCTTTTTGAATCCGAGCGAAACGATTACGGCAGAGAAGTACTGTCAA